GCCGCAGGCCTGCGGCAACTGTACGCGGGCTATAGGTACTAGAGCTAAGCCAACACCTACTGAAGAAATGAAATCAACTGGCCCTTATTACCTAACCCTAACCATATCAAATAGTTACCAGGGTACGTTCCGGTATACCGGACCGTACCCAGGGTACGTTCCGGCAGTACCCTGGAGGACATAGACCTATGAGCCTTATTAGGCCTACATCCTTATCCACATAACAGCAAGTAGCTTTGCTCGACAATGCTTGTTCCAGAAACCGAAGCTACACAGTTGCAACAGGCAGATTCTACGTGATTGGAGCTGAGGGCTTACAAAAATATTTTCCCGTAACTCACAAGTCCTGAAATTCAATGTTACAAAGATTCCAAGAATTCTGCTGGCTGCAAGAAGTTGGACTATTAATAATATTATTATTAGTTCTAAAACCTTGAGCCAAATATAACCTTGTCATCAAAATATTTAGTAAATGGTAAACAATTAATTGTTAAGCCCGGCGCACACGTGAGTAATTTTACTCACGCGTCATATTTTCAGCGTCCGCCGCAAACGTGAGTAAAATTACTCAAGGTATAAGTGGTAATGCAGATCACGTGAATGTGCGCAGCCATTACTGGTCGCAGCCGTCTTTAAAATGATTTAAACGCATGCGCTGTGAGTACCAGTGTTGAGTAAATTTACTCAGCGCGCGCGCACACGTTGAGTAAAATGACGCATGAGTCAAAAATTATCAAACTCGTTTGATATTGAGTAAAATCACGCATGCGTCAAATTACTCAACGAAAATCTGCCGCACACGTGAGTAAAATGACTTATGCGTCATTTTACTTGAGTAAAATAACTCACGTGTGCGCCAGGCTTAACATGCAATCACACGGCACCTGTGACTTCCTCGTGTAGCGGATTTGCCAACAGATACTTCAGTCTCAGACACTCAATATAATTTAATCTATCTACATCCTTAAAAATTGATAGAGATAGTGTTAAATAACTAGATGTAATACAACACGAGTCTACACCACAACAGTTAATTCTTGCCCTGGCTAGACAAATGAAAACCAAAACATAGAGACACTGAAGAGTGACGTGTAGTTAAAGGCAATAACATGCGATTGCAATATAGAAGCAAACCTGTTTCTTCTCATTGAGGACTTGTTCCAACAAGGATGGACTAAGTACCAGTGTATCTGGCGATTCCTCATTGAGGTCACTAGGTGGCACTACTGTCATTTCAAGCCCCTCTTTGATTTTTGCCTTCAAATAGCATAAAAGAAATATTCATCAGTTTATTATGATAACTGATTTTATAATAGTTGCTTACCAATCAATAAGTATCTAATGCTCCAAGCATGCAAATGCACATAAAAAAAAATTGATATATGACATCAACGTGTATATTTTCACCCTGCAATTTACAACTAGTTTATAGACAGCTTATAGTTCTGGCTGGAGTTAAAATTATTTTAGCACAAAGCTGAAATTAATTTGACTACCATGAAATGCTAAGATATTTCATGACTGATTTACCGATCTCAAATTACAAAAAAGGCTAACTTCAATACCAAACTACAATAAACTCCCAATACAGACCACCCTCAGGACCATCCATTTAGTTTCATTTTCTGTTAAAGCGTGTATTGCGAGAATTTTCCAGTGTTTTCCCCACTTTCATGATACCTACCGTTATTGCTTGAATAACAGCAATTGTCTAGAGTAACGATAAAATGTCTTAGAACCTTCGTATTCACCAAATCCAATGAAATCATGCACGATTACAATTTTGCGTTCTGTTTCTGTTTACCGTTGCCATCTCTCGAATTTTCTCGTGGTAGCGCGAGACATCTATCACGGTGCAGTAATGCATACCGTCGCACCGTAGAAATCAGGTCAGAGTGTAAACACAGATGTTCATACTAGTGTAACAGCAGTGTAGTACTAATGCCACGTAAATTCTGTTATTAGAGAAGCTTGTGGATTGCCAGTCAGATAGTAACACGGGAATAACAATGACAGAAAGTGCTCTAAATTATTTACATAAAAACCAATAATATTTACCAAACAGAATTGCACGCCCTTTTGTTTTAATTATGTGCACTTGTTTAAAGACGCCATTTGTGATTTTGAGTCGGGACACGATAAAATTTATTGCTGGTATGATATGATGTGGTCAAATCAATTTTTCTATGCTATAACTGCATAAAATCTTGGTGTTTTGAATGTTGGTATAATCAGTGATATTTCCACTGTCAGGTGAGACCTATATTCAGCTATATTTTGTTTTTCTGAGCTAAAAAAACTCGCAATACATGCTTTAAGTTTTGTTTACAGAGCGACCTATTGCAGGCATATCTTACATGTTTCAGATAGATTCAGTGCCTTAACTGCCTAATTGACATGCCTTAATTAAATTTATAACATTCATAAGATTGATAAAATTATTGACTTTAAACAATCACACAACGATCAGCTGTGTTTTCACGGCTTGATGTATATGTGTCCGAACTGATAAAGTTTACCCGTGTATTGGGACTGTTTCCGACACACGTAATTGACTCCAATTGGTACGGCTCCCACTCGAGCCTTTCCTCATCCTCCCATAAACAACATGTGCTCTTTGAATTTTCGGGGTAGGATCCTGAAATACCAGATTTGCTTAGTTAATGAGCTTCTACCTCAAGTTTTGCCGTCACAGCCTCCATTTCTTTCTTCTTCTTGTACTTCTCCTTGTACGCCTTCAATCGATGGGTTCTACATAACGGTGGTTTGTTTGGTGTAGATCTCATACTTGGCTCCAGACAGCCATCGTGGGAACATAGCATTGCTGCATTGATTGGCGAACCTCGACTTCTTTGTTTCATAGTCACAGTCCTAGGTGTTGAAGCAGAATCTGAAGTGTCAGCTGCACACACTGCATTATCTTTTATGACACAACTTTTCTTGATTATAGTCGTCCTGTAACAACAAGCACAGAATAAGAGCATCATCTAAACTAGCTGTACAGTATTATCATGAATGTATCTATACATATGTTTTATAAATATGGTTAGGATACTATCTATGGTAGTTAATACTTTGGTCCCGGTGATCACAAGCGTCTATAATATTACTCAATTAGAATCCCTAGTTCATTCCCTCTGATTGCCAGCTACAGCCTTACTAATATGCCATTATCTATGTCAAGATATTTTAAGTTAATCAAAATCAGGTAACGATGGAGTAACTTCTATCGTTGTTATGTTAATCTTTTTACCCATACAACTTCAATTAGATCTGGAATATTAAATTCCACTACAAGGCCTCATTTTGCCTACAAGCGACTGGCCAGTTTCGAGCTCCTACGATAGCCACTGCATGTATACACCATGAGAAAGCATATATAATATTTATATATCAATTTTGCTTCAGCCACACTAGCTCTAGCCTAACTATAGCCTCGTGTGATGCGTTCGCGCAGGCCTGCCCGGCAACTGTACGCGGGCTATAGGTACTAGAGCTAGCCAACACCTACTGAAGAATGAAAATCAATTGGCCCTTATTACCTAACCCTAACCATATCAAATAGTTACCAGGGTACGCTTCCGCGTATACCGGACCGTAACCAGCGCCGTACGTTCCGGCAGTAAACCCTGGAGCCGACATAGACCTATGCAGCCCTTATTAGCGCCTACATCCTTATCCATACAACAGCCAAGTAGCCTTATTGCTCGACAATTGCCTGTTCCAGAAACCGCAACTACACAGTGGCCCAACAGGCATATTCTACGTGATTGGAGCTGAGGGCTTACAAATACTTTTTCCCGTAACTCACAAGTCCTGCAACACTTACATCGTTACAAGTGAGCCAAGAATTCTGCTGGCCTGCAAAGAAGTTGGACTATTAATAATATTATTAATTAGTTCTAAACCTTGGCCAAATATAACCTTGTCATCAAAATATTAGTAAATGCCGCTAAACAACTAATTGCTTAAGCCCGGCGCCACACGTGAGCTAATTTTACTCAATGGTATAAATCTTGCGTAATGCAAGATCACGTGACTGTGCGGCCAGCCAAACTACTGGTCGCAGCCGTCTTTAAATGAGTTCAAAACGCATGCGCTGTGAGCTTACCAGTGTGACCGTAAATTTACTCAGCGGCGCGCGCACACATGAGTAAAATGACGCACGAGTTCAAAAAATTATCAACTCGTCTTTACTCCTAGCTAAAACTCCACCCGCATCGTCAAATTACCTCAACGAAATCCGCCTGTACACGTAGTAAAATGCACTCATGTGTCACCTTCTTGCCAGTAAAGAATAACTCAACCGATGTGCCGCCCGGGCTTAACATGCACATCACACGCGCACTTGTGACTTCGCTCGTGCCATAAGACGGATTTCCAACAGATACGTTCAGTTCAGCACACTCTAGCACCGCACCCAGTAGTACCCCGAGTCACTGTCTCTACGTTGTCGTCTGCCATGGCTCCTCGAGAGTTGCAGGACTGGCAATGTACTACTACTACTCCAGTCACGTCATTACTAATACTATTAGTATAGCCACAAAAACAATTTGAACACATGTTATCGATAGGCAGAATAAAAAAAAACCAAAACGAAAAAAACAAAAAAAAAAAAACCAAAAAAACAAAAACAACAAAAACAAATAAAAAAAACCGCATTACTGCATTTACCATTGATAGCTAGGCCTACTTAGGAGTATGAAGCAACTAATCTCCCCTTACAGTAGCCAGCGGAGGCCCGGGCTCACGGCGGGGGCGGGCGGTATTGCCCCCCTATAAATTTTAAAAAAGAATAGAAGAAAAAAAGCAAAAAGAAGCAAAGAAAAAGAAAGAGCAAATAGAAACTGCTTTTGACGGCTCCTGCAAAGCTGTTGTTGTGCGGGGAGGGGAGGATTCAGGCCCCCACCAATCCACAGCTCTTGCCTAATTCTAAATTATTAAAACCTTCACCGCGGGCCCTCAGACTGCGGGTCCCGGCCGCGTCTATTTTTTCCGTACCACTAATGCGTAACGCTGTTTTATGGTGCCTTGTGACCCTAAACCTAAGGATGTGAATATTCGTCCGAGCAAAACATACACACAAGTACAAACAGTCAACCTAACACAACCCTAACCGTAACACTAACTCTAAACCGACTCGGCTATCTTATATATACGCGTGTCATAGTACCCAAATTAATCTATGGTGTATAATCTTTCGTAGTGATGCGCAACGATGCTCGGACGAATATCCACGTCGCTAATCCTAACCCTAATCCTAACCCTAACCCATAGCGTTACGCATTACGCATTAGTGCCGTTTACTAACCGGGGGTGCTGGGGGTGCTGCAGCACCCCCTGTTTTTTTAGTTGAGTAGTGCATGTGCACGTACACGTGCATGCGTGCATGTGCACGTACAAGTGTGTGCGTGTGCACGTACAAGTGCGTACGGCGTGTGCACATACACGGCTAACTACGAACTCGCTTATAATGAAAACAATGCCAAACTATGACAAAAGAAGCGTCAAAGGTGCCGCCTGTCTGTGTAGTATGGTAATTATTTATTTATTTTTAGTTGAGTAGTAATTTTATGTTTTCTCAATAAAATAATGCATGCTGCGGTATGCAGGAAACACGTGCGGAAATTTCAAGTGGTTTACGGTACCTCGTCAGCTTGTGTAAAGTTACGCAAAGGTTTACGTAAATTTTAGCTTGATGAATTGCACCTAAAACGACCTAGCTTGTGTACGCGAAAACCTACGCAAATTTACTAAATAATTGCGTTGATAAATCGCAACTAAGCAACATCGATTGCGTACATAAGATTTACGCAAAATATTTTGCGTACGCAGCTTGATGAATCATGAATATACCCCCTGGACCCCCACCCGTCAGTGCAAGCGCACACGGTATCAGAGTCTACAGTTTCCAGGGGCGTGTACAGGGGGGGTCCAGGAGGTCCGGACCACCCCCTGCTCGCGCAGAAAACGCATTTGAGGGGGTCTAATTTCAAAAAAATTTCTCCAGACCACCCCTTCGCGTGCTCGCAAGTTTGGGTTACTGTTAGACCCCCCCTGGTACAAATCCTGTACACGCCCCTGGTTTGACCCCCCTAAGAAAATACCCTGGAGCCGCCCCTGGTAACATGCGTCTAAACAGAGGAATTGCTCTGACCTGTGATTAGAGGATAAAAATAAACACCGCCCACTCCCACCGCATACGCTATGCTATGACTGGTAGGAACGTGTACTATCAGTATCATATGGAGCGAATGATTTGAGTTATATTTCTGTAAATTCTAGCTATTATAAACACATGTCTTAACCTTAATCTCTGTGAATTTTGAGACTATTGAAGCGCGATTAGTCTAATTAATTAGCAAATATGCACGCGCGGCTATGACCGGTGAAACGAAACGTCACAAATTCTATTTTTATCCTCCAAAAATGGAAAAGTGGGCGGGGTCTATTTTTATCCTCCAATCACAGGTCGGAGCAATTCCTCTGTTTAGACGCATGTCCCTGTGACACCGGTCTGAGATTACCACAGTCTGAATTTACCCACCTATGGGCACACAGGATATAATTTGCAGGG